TAAAATAATATGCCAACTAGCAAACCAAAACCAAGAACATATCCAATCACAGAAGTGAGACCTAAATATTACCTTCCATTTATCTGCAAGAGGATTAGGGAGGTAATGGTTTTATCCATTGTACAACAACTGAGTGTATATATGGTGGTGTGATCATCTTGTAATCTACAGGTTCCAATTCTGTCACTGAACATAATTGGCCTTTCAAACATGGGGGGGCATTATAATGTGATGATCAATAATATTGTTACTTAGTAAAGAGTAAACCAAAAGTTGGTGGTGGGTGATGTTGACTAGCTCTCTTACTTCTAGTATATCGCTTCTAAGTTAGACATGGCTAACACAGATAGCCTGCAAGAAATTCAACAACCAACCAAAACAAATGTGCATGTACAAATGTAATTAAACTGATACAATGATAACAGTTGCAATATGCATTATAGCAACATAAACTAAGAGAGCAGCTAGAAACCCAACAGTTCTTTTTGTATATAGACATTGGTTAATTTACATAATTTGGACCAAAATGTATGCTATTGATCATCTGTCATTTGGTCGTCATTGCATATGTTTTGGTAGAAGAAAGTATGTAACAAATAAATTTACATAATGATATAAATATTTATGAAAGCTATCCCATGTATATAGGTAGAACCACCAAGAATGTGCTTTTACAAACAGATTCAGTATTAGCAGAATTAAGTAATAAAATAAAATTCAGTTTAATATTTGTTGCAAGTTTCCACAACTTCTTTAATGATGTGAATTTCATTACTTATTCCTATATATTTTGGACAGATTTAGACCACTTATATCAAGTTTCACATTTTTATAATTCCTGTAATCTCTCATGGCCACCAATTACCTGGAAGAAGCTAGTACTTTGAACACAAATCTGGCACATCACAAAGTATATTCTGGGATCTCTTGGCATGTTTATCCTAATCCCAACTTGCAGTTCAAAATGCATATTTTGATACATGATAAAGCAGGTGTTACACAGATGCATTTTATTTAAAAACAAACAATCGTTGCTTGTACCAGATCTATTCAAAATGCCACCTTCCTAAAAATTAAACTTTACACCCATTAAAAGGATGGGAAATGACTGGTCTATAATGTAGTCTGTGTGAATATTACTATCTAATTTGAATTACATACCTGTTGCTCATGGGTACCCATATTCAATTACATTTATTTCAAAGCTAACCAAATTCTAACATTTTTGTCCTACAGGATCGAGGGTATAAGTAGGCTATGCCTACATTTTTTTAGATAGAAAATAGTCAAGGAGTGTTCATTTAGCATGTAAAATAATTTTTATGAGAAACAGGAAAATACAAGAAAAATCAGCTATAAAACTAAATTTAAGTGTTTCCTAGGAGGAGCAACATCTTTTGATAACTACTGATAATCCAGCCAAAAAGTTGGCCTTAATTATAAATTTAATTTGTGAGATAACCTTATTAGTCAGTCATATTGTTTGAACAAAGACAAAACTTAATTCTAAGTTAAGAATTTTATAACAATCTAGTAAAATCATCAGGTAAACAAGTTATTTGAAATTTAACTAAAAAGGTAAACCCTAATTTGACATCTAATATAAGCGTGTCATTTTGAAAGCAGTTATAACATCTTTTTCAAACCGATACAGATAATAAAAAAATATTCAGACTGAATTTTATTCATCTCAAAAACAGCAAGACACTATGATGTGCAGTAAATAAAATACTGCTGTAAGCTATATTTTCAATATTATAATTTAGTTGTTTGTTAGAAGGAGCTGCTATTCATGATGATAATGATAGATCTAGAAATTTTGTGTATCATGGAGAAGTAAGACTACATTATAATTATGAGTAATCAGTGTGTGAAAATTCAATTTAGAATTCAGTGAGTAGTCAATGAGTGTTTTTGTACTGTGCTAGACAGCCTGTGCCTGTTTAGTCACTTGATCGACTAGCAAGGAAATTCTGTACTAGTGTGTTTTGTATTTGTGTCATTTAAGCATTGGTAACATTAGTATTACAGTTTCTGTTGAAGGTGAAAACTTTTTTGTATAAAAGTGAATGTAACCTCTAGTAAGTATTATAATATGTGGACTGAACTTCACATTGTTTTACTAAATAATTTGATAGAATCTGCCCAATAAAAGGAATATGTTACAATATTGTTGTCAGAAGTGGGGTTATTTTGGTGTAGAAAGCTTCTCTAAACTTCATGAAAATGAGTGTATATTGGGAACTGATTTCATGTAGACATGGATGCAATGTTATGCAACCTTCAAATAGCTTCCCAAGCCTATGACCAGGAAAACCTTGTGCACTACATGGCAATTTACTACACCAGACAATTCTGGTTACAATAGGGAGGGTAATTACTTTACCATCCATCCTCTTTATAAAAGATTCTGAAATTTTCATAATAAACCTAGAGAATTTAGTCATTTTCTTCAATTAGCTACATCTATATACTACTAAAACTCTGAGATTGTTTGCTTGTCTGTAATTAAATAGTGCACAATATTTGTAATGAAACAGAATAAAACAAGTTTCGTTAAAATCGGGCCACGGGTTACCGAGTTAGCGCCATTTTTTGGGTCACTTT